AGCACTCGTACACTGACCTCACCTGGTAGCAGACTGTGACTAAGGGTCGGAAGGGCACCTTGCTCGTAGGCAGGCCGAGCCCATTTATGGAAGTTTGGTTGTCTGCCTTGATAGCCATCAAGGATCTTCCGTAAATGACCATGGCGCGGCCAAACTCCAGAGGCTGGGACAGGAAACGTGACTAATCCAGACCACTGGCCTAACACACTCCACGCATGGCACCAATCCGCCGTAACACGAGTGGACGTGCCCAGCAGAGGAGAGCCAAGTAATCCACTAGCTACTGCCTGCTCCACATCTACAGGTGGATACGTGGTAGCAAGGTAGGCTTCAACATGCTCATGGTAAGCACGAGTAATGTCGTGGGCTATTTCATCAGGATCCGTGTCCGAGTCCTCCAAGGTAGTGACAGGTATGGGGCTCTCATTCTTGGATTTCCACCAGTCCTTGCTCGCAGTGGTTCTGATATAGATCCCATGCGCGCAGCGATTTTTATCAATATTGTAGCCTTATTGTTTTTTTTTCAAATCGTTTTCCTGAAATCATACCTGTGACATGTCTTCCAATGTTACCTCGCCGTGTTCTAATGAAAGAAAAAGATTCACATGGTTTTCAATCTTTGAGAAGTATTTGCTGCGATGGTGTGATGTTTTGGTTCTTGTGTAAATTTAGAATCCTTTGCCTTAAGAGTTTCAGCTGATCAATGCAAGAGCAAAATACATTCGATATGAAATTGAAACTGGACGACACAAGTTGCCGCCGAATTGTCTGCATTTGATGAATGAACTTTTCGGAATTAGAATTTCCTTCTTTGCGAGCCCATAAGAGCCATGGCGTTGCTGTTTTTGTCTCCTCGCAGTGGCCGGGCGAGGGTCAATGCTGTTTCGAGAAGCGGGGATCCAATGACCCGCAAATTTTTTCTACCCGAAGAACCTTGGGTTGTTGCTCTTGCTCGCAAGCATGGCTTGCAGCATGTTTTGGAGGATCAGCGGGAACGCAAGCGCTTGACAGGTTGCAGCGGAGACAAATGTGGTGCCAATAAAGAATTTTCAGGGATTTCTCAAATCCTGTGCCTAGTCTCCGTATCGCCTGGGAAACTTGCACATGGAATTTTGACGGATTGGACAGCGGAGGAAGAATATTTCCGCAAAGGCTTGTTTGAAGCGCTTGAGAAATCATCATCGCATTCAACTTTGTCGTTGTATGTCAATAAGGTTCTTGCTTTTCCAAAGCCCATTTTGCCCCATTCCCCTCAAAGGTTTCATGCTGATTTGTGGGAGCCAGAGAAATTTGATTTGGAACAAATTATCATGTGGAGCGGGAAGACCCGCGAGGAGCTGGCTCATTTCGGAAAACCATCTCAGGACATCAGCGACTTTTTGCAAAAACCTGCGGCTCTTCGGGTGCCAGTATTGGTGTGTCATTTGATTGCAAAATGCGCATGGAAAGCACTCATTTTGGATGGGTGTCATTTTGGGAAAAGAGGTGCGCAACAGTCCATCCATGTCGGGCTTCAGGAAAGGTTGGGCGGGTTTCCTCCATCCCAGTGGGTCAAAGAGGCTCTAGCAAGTGAAAAGCGGAAACGCACACCAGAGGATGCCATGGAGCTGAGATTTCGGCCTATTGACGCCCAGCAAGTTGTAAGTTTATTGCGATCTTGGAGTGGCCACATTCTGTCGCAAGCACCAGATGAGACACGCCAAGAGCTGCAGCTGATGTTGGAGGAGAAGGTGATGCGGCTAGATACCTTTGCTGGAAACAACAAACGCCCAACTAGATCAGAATTTGGTCCAGAACAATTGCTGCATGCGCTGTGCGCTGCCATGGGTGTCCGAGACAGGTCTAAATTAGCCGAGAAGCGGTCTGGGCGGGCCGCACGCTGCAACGAGGAGAGGTATGCTCAGCATAGCGGAGACTGGGGAAATTGGAGGGCGGACTTGGACGAGGAGAAGGTTTGGCGTGAATGGAAAGAGGACGCAGCGCAGAACCTCGAGCGAGTGGATGAAGCAGAGGAAGAAGACGATGCCAGGAGCTATGCTTCGGCACGATCCGGCTCGTCCTATAGCTACTCCTCCTCGGACTCTTCCTCAGGGAGTGAGGATAGGATCGGAGCGGCGGCCAAGGAAACTGCAGCAGCCCGCTGCCAGAAGCACTGAGAAGACAAGCGGCGGGACAACCGCAGATGCTGCACCTCACGGTGCCTGCGATGAAGTCAAATCGGAAGCGGACACATTGTCCGCATTGAGAGCCCAGGTGGTCTCTGCAATCGAAAGGAATGATGGAGCGGACTTCCAAGCGGCGCTGGCTGCAAACCCGAAACAAGTTCATACAGAGGCAGCGGCATCGCAAGCCGCAGAGGCAACAAGCCCTACAATGGTGGCATCGCCATCTCCGCTCAGTGCACAGGAAGATTTAAGCCCAACCTCACCAGCAGCAGCGGAGACAGCGCCGGCGCCGCCACCAGAGCGGCAGACACCGCAGGAAGAACGGCCACCCATGGCACGGCCAGTTGGATTCATCCGTGTTTTTGCGGATGGATCTTTCGATCTAGTGACTCCCGAGAACCCGGATGTGCCGGTGCCTCTGCAGCAAACAGACATGAACCGTTGCCTGACCATAGTGAAAAGCGCGGCGTATGAGTTAGCGCGAGATGATGTTCCTCGCCTGGAAAGCACAGCGAGGCCAACCCCCGCCGACAGCAGCGGCGAAGCCAAGCCGCCAATGGAAAGCCCAGCGGGACCAACCCCTGTCGTCAGCAGCGCCGAAGCCCACCCGCCAATGGAAAGCACAGCGGCGCCAACCCCTGTCGTCAGCAGCGGCGAAGGTACCACCGAGCCGCAAGTGGAATGCATTGCGGCGACAGAGTCTGCCGCCGCCGCCACTGGCGCAACCAACACGGAGACGCCAACTCCAGCGGACAATTCCGCCCAAGCCAGTCAAGTACTAGCGGCTGACACAGCGGGAGATGCTCCTGCAACAGCTGCAAGCGCGCCCATAGAAGATGCTGCAGTCAATGCGGAGGCAAACTCCGCGGTGACAGGAATGTCGACAGCGGCCAATGCCGCAGCATCGGAGCTCCAGAGCGGTTCCGCACGCGGACGTTCTAGGAAGCGAAGGAAGCGGCAACGCCATAAGCGGCCAAAGAGCCCACGAGCGTAGACCTGCGCCTTGACATGCTGCAAAAAAGTCGCTTCTCTGGCTTTCACACATTTGCTGCACTTGTCCATCTTTGTAGTCTCTTATATCATTGCATTTACGTAGTTCTTAAACTTTTTTTAAAAAAATATCAGGTTGCAATGCGTTTTCTCCACGTGTCTTTTCTTTCTGCTCTGCTAAGTTTCTGTATTTTGATTTGGGTTAGTATTTTTTCCTGTGGTCCTAGATATGTATTGGTGGAAGGTGGCGCTCTTGCGAAGTATACCCCCGAAGCATACCCCCGAAGCATACCCCGAAGCAAACCCCCAAAATGAAGATCATTTTTGAGGGGTTGTTGATGGTTGTTATTTGGAGATCTTGGGCTCAAAATATATCAAGATGGGTCGCGACACTTGCTTCATGCTGCCTTTAGGCGCCCTTTGCGCCATCCCGCCCTCCATCCCCGCAGTCTGGCTGCCCTATGCAGCCAAGTAGGTTGAAGACAGCTTCGGTGCTGACAGGCCGCTGTAGCTTCATTGTGGCAGCCGATACCGTTTGCATCGACCAGCTTCTGGTGCTGACTGGCCGTTGTAGCTCCTGTCTAGATCTGATACGGTGTGCTGAATAGTGCTCCGCGAATCATACCCGAATCACACCCGTTTCATACCTCAAACCTTCAACTTCCAGACCCTGGCACATTTTGAACGCGTGAGTAAGATACTTCACATCCCTGCAAGGATACACGCAGAGATATACAAAAGGTTGGAAAGTTTTTTGGAAGCCTCTTAGATATGAAGTAAGTTCCATGTGATGAAGTACATGCGAAGCATACCCCGAAGCATACCCCCGAAGCAAACCCCGAAGCATACCTCCGAAGCATACCCCCTAGACAAACCTCCCAGGGGGATACGGTATTTCCAGACGAACCCATTTATTTTGTCATGGTTGCAAAACATATCCTTCCACTTGTCCCTAGTCTTTGCTTCTATATCATTTTAGTCCTTTCAGCAGTGTGTTTTTTTTGGGGGGGGTTGCAGGTTGCATGAACTTTTTTCTTTCTGTCCTTATTTTTTGTTTTTGTATCGGTTTTTACTCAATTTACCTCCTTATGCAATCGCTTTGTTCTTTCCTTTCTTTTCCATCGCCAACATGCTGAACTATGTGGATTTTGCAAGGCGTCCTTTGGTTTTTGCAGATTTTCATTCAAAACCCACGTAAACCTTATATGCCATAGGCCACGTCCAATATCCAGCATAGACCCACTAGCTAGAGAGTCAAGAGACAGCAGTCCCAACATTGTCCTGCGCGGTCTTGGGCAGGCACGGTTCGGGCTTCAGTCTGGCTTGGGTCAGGCACAGGTCGGGACAGGTCGGGCACGGGTCGGGCCGGGTCGGGCGCGGGTCGGGCCGGGTCGGGCGCGGGTCGGGCCGGGTCGGGCGTGGGTCGGGACGGGTCGGGACGGGTCGGGCATGGGTCGGGCTGGGTCGGGCGTGTTTCCGGCTGGGACAGGTTATCTGGGGCAGGGTCGGACATTAGCTTTGTCATGCATCCCGCGTCTTTGTCATAAAACCAAGCCACTTTGAGGCTCCTGGCCTTTGTTCAGGCAGTCGTTTTCTCTTTTGCCGAAGGGTTTTCGATTGAACTCACTTGGCATCAGCATGTTTTTATCAAAAACATTGCTGCAACGATGTTTTCGAAGCCTTTTCAAGGAATTCTCAATAATTTTCACGTCGAAAGCTCAATCCACTGACATCTAAGGACACTCAGCTGGAAACGCAATTTCTTCATAGAAATCATCGACTTTGGCATTGAATTTTCCTTAAGTACAGGTGTTTTGTGTTTAGCACGTGAGAAGCTCCCAAGCCATGCCGAAACGCCCTGCAAAGCGACGCCGGCAGCAGCCGCTGCCTTTTGCAAATGCCACATTAACGTCAGCGGCTAGGAATGGACCGCGAGACATGAAGGAAAGGGACATGTGGCCAGAGCAAGTGATCGCAGATCTCGACTGCAAAGGCCTTTGGGAAAATATTTCAAGAAGCTTACAGCAAGGTTGGGTCCTGACAACTGACTATAGCGGGATAGGTACTGCAGAAGAAGCAGCGAGATGCCTTAGCATAGCCGCAGCTTGCAAAGCTCATGGCGAAGGAAGGGTTCAGTATGCAGCCCGTGTGCTGTGCCAGAGGGCTGGAGACAAAGAAGCGGATTGCCGCCGAATGCTCCTGGAGCGAAATCATGCTTTGACGCATGGGCCTGTGTGCGTCCATGGGGATATCGGAGAGCGGTGCGATCGCAAAAGATGGGAAAATTTGCATCGGAGTCTTCAGCGCTTGCAAGCCTCAGAAGTGTTGAGGCTAGACACAGATCCAGCGAATTTCGCGAAGGATTGTTTTGGCCAGGTCATGAAGCAAGATCTCGTCGGAGTAGCGGCACATTGCTTTCGACACGGCAAGATGTGCTCCGTAAGCAGAACCAGGAGCGGCACAGATGCCGCAGAATCCGATAAAGATGCTTTGAATCTGCACGTAGCGGGATTCAACTGCTTTGACTGGTCACTTATGGGAGGTCGGAAAGGCTGGTTTGGACTGAGCACGCCTGCATTTATGCAATGGTTAGCAGAGCGAATGCAGTTTGACGAAGATGATTGCATTTTGTGCGAAAACACGCCTGCCTTTGATTTAAAGATGCTAGCGGAACTCACCGCTGAGAAGTGGCACATGCAAGTGATCAGTGTTTCTCCGACGCTATTTGGACTTCCTGTTGAGCGGAAACGCATTTATATTCTGTTGCTACGCAAAGGCAAATGGCGATTCCAAGGCCTTGTTGCAAGTGCAAGCAGCCAGAAGCAAGCAGATGAACCAATTTTTTCTTGCTGCAGGAGCAATTTGATTCCATCTTTCAGCGCAACATCGTGATGACAGCGGGAAGTCAATTCCGAGCTCCGGAATCATGCAAACAACAGCATGTCGAGGTTCTTGCGGAAGCGCAGAAACTACCTCCCACCACCGCGTCTGGCAAGCACTGGAGTTGTTATCAAGCAGTGTCTGCCGCAGTGCGGTGCAAAATAAATGAACACAAGCAAGCATTGCTTGAAAAGAGTGGCGAGACCTTGGAAGACATGACAGAGCGGGAACGCCACCAATGGACTGCGGACTTATGTCAGCATCCCCAATACATGGGGCCTTCATGTGGCAACGTTCCAGCCTTGCTCCGACGAACCAACTTGTGGCTTTTTGGGCAGCGGCGACTTGCGCTGCCGAGTGAACACTTGGAATGTCAGGGATGGAACCTTTTTGGTGACCCTGCTTGTTTGTACAAATCCCCAATCACGCCTGAGCAGCTTCAAAACATGAAGCCTGCACGGGTCAAAAGCTTTGCCGGGAACGGCATGCATCTGCAGGTCCTAGCGAGTGTTCTCGCATTTACAATTGGGGTAATGGAGGCAGAAGTTTGACCCTGCCGCAACCAGCTTTGACCCTGATTTTGGAAAAAGCTTATGCGTTCAGCGGCAAGTCTTGCTGCAAGTACCATTGGTGGTAATGGCAAAGATGGCATCAAAGAATGATAATGTTAAGTTTGTTGACTTTTATATTAAAAAATAAGACGCAATTATTCATATAAACAAGAATATCGGTACTTCAACTGATGAGAATATCATTGCTAGTGCTGCTAGTACTACTACTAAAAGTATATTATCAGAAAAAAACGTAGTAGTAGTAGTAGCAGCAGTAGTAGTAGTAGTCGTCGTCGTCCCCGCGGTAACCGCGGTTGCCGCGGTCGCCGCGGTCGCCGCGGTAACCGCGGTCCGCCGCGGTCGCCGCGGTCGCCGCGGTCGCGCGCGGTCGCCGCGGCCGCCGCGGCCAGTAGTAGTAGTAGAAGTAGTAGTAGTAGTAGTAGTAGTAGTAGTCGTAGTAGCAGTAGTAGTACAAGTCGCCGCGGTAACCGCGGTCGCCGCGGTCAACCGCGGTCGCCGCGGCCAAGTAGTAGTAGGAGTAGGTAGTAGAAGTAGTAGTAGTAGTAGCAGCAGTAGTAGTAGTAGTAGTGGTAGTAGTAGTAGCAGTAGTAGTAGTACCAGTAGTAGTAGTAGTAGCAGTAGTAGTACTAGTCGCCGCGGTAACCGCGGTCGCCGCGGTCGCCGCGGTAACCGCGGTCGCCGCGGCTAAGTAGTAGTAGCAGCAGTAGTAGTAGTAGTAGCAGTAGTAGTAGTAGTACCAGTAGTAGTAGTAGTAGTAGTAGTAGTAGTAGTAGTAGTAGTCGTCGTCGTCGCGATGCGCGGTAACCGCGGTCGCGCGGTCGCCGGCGGCCGCCGCGGCCAGTAGTAGTAGTAGTAGTAGTAGTAGTAAGTAGTAGTCGTCGTAGTAGTCGTCGCCGAGGTCGCCGCGGTCGCCTTGGTCGGCCGCGGTCCGACGCCGGTACCGCGGTCGCCGCGGTCCGGCCGCGGTCGCCGCGGTTCGCCGCGTCGCCGCGGCCGGGCCGCGGCCCGCCCGCGGCCGTAGTAGCAGTAGTAGTAGTAGTAGTAAGTAGTAGTAAGTAGTAGTAGTAGTAGTAGTAGTAGTCGTCACCGCGGTAACCGCGGTCGCCGCGGTCGCCGCGGTCGCCGCGGCCAGTAGTAGTAGTAGTTGGAGAAGCTTGACTGCAAAGCCTCAGGGGAAAAATGTCCACCTGCAGCGTTCCGAAGTTGTCACATGCTCGCATGGATGTATGAGTATATGTGCGCGATATGCTTTTGCAATTTTGTCCCGTTTTTCTTTCCCCCCAAAAAAAATCTGCTTTGAAGCATGTGTATCCGCACCTTTTGCTGGCGCTAATTGGATCCCAATCTCTGTTTTTTAACAATCAACCAAAACTGGGAATATCACATAATTTGAACCCATTCCACCCCAAACAGGAAACACCCAAGGACTCAGGCAATCCAAGAGCTCTCATGACCCGAAGCTAATACAATGACCAGACCCGCATTGATTTCAGTGAATGCCTCACTCACAAGGATGACTCCTTTGGGCTTGCACGCACTGCTAGTTTCATCACCGTCTGGTTTGTCCTTCCGGGTAGGTTTGGTTGACCCAGCCGGGGAAGAGTCATTGCTGCTAGACGTCGCCCGTCGAGACATGCGGGGACTAGGGTCTGGCGAATCACCATAGTCAACCTCGTCTGCCAAATTTGCACCATAGGTGAGGGGAGGGACTCGTGGTGGGTCAGCTTTTCTGACAGCAAGATTGTCCGCACTATGCGATCTAGATAGCTTCGATGGTGGACCAGGCTGCTGCATGTCCCTTCCCGTGTCAACAGAACGAGCACGCTTGTGCGATGACGCAATGGGGCTTGACTGTTTGCTCTTCGCAACTTTGCTGGATGTAGCTGGTCGGGTTGGGTCAGTGCTCGCAAGCCACAGTTCTCGTATCTCGAAGAGGGTCACTGGCACACAATCGCTGTCAATCAGTGCAAAATTGATGGTCGGAAAGAGGAACACACACGCATCAAGGATGTACGTTCCTGCCCATGTTGGGTGTACCTTATGAAGACCAGTGTCAGCAGAAATGTGAACAAATACAACTGTGGTGAGTTCTCCATATGGGCCAACATATCGTAACCGTTCTTTCCACCACGCAGCGACCATTGGCCAATGACTGAGCCCTTGCACGGATTTGACCTCGTCCGACTGCAAATCACGATTATCCGTCACCAAGTACACGGTGTGGTAAGGCAAGAAAGCAGAGCTTTGACTAACCAACCATCGATACAACTTGTGCCAGTCAGGTCCAGGTGGAGTTTCGATCCCGTTCACCATTGCTATTTCGTAGTCATGTCGATCAGGATCAGCTGTTTTCTTATGGGGGTCTCCAAATCGCCAGTGCTCTTCAATAGATACATTCAGCCCGTACTCAGTCGAAATGCTCTTGTGCTGTTCAAGTGCATAGAGCAAATCCAAGAAACTGATTGCAGGATTTTTGGCGTACCAAGCCTTCACAACTTGTTCTCTGGAGAGTAGAGACATCTCACTGTTCAGTTCCTGTATAGCTGATTTCAGTGTAAAGGTTATGAGGGGGGGAGGGATGGGAAGGTGTTGAGAATCCTGACACGTCTCTGGTCAGAAGACTCAAGCACTCCACGCAGTACCGATACACAGAATAAAGGACAATAAAGAAGGGGACCCTAAATCAAAGACCAAACGGCGAAAAAAGGCCTGAAAAAACCGAAAATCTCCAAAAAAGGGGGGGAGGGAGGGAGTGTTGAAAAACCTGACACGTCTTTGGCCAGGCAGTTCAAGCACCTTGACAGGAAGCAAGAGGAACAACCCACAAGACAAGAAAACCAACAGACAGCACAGCTAAAGCGGCGCCCAGTTGTAAGGTACAAAAAGGAGGGAGCGCGGGGCAAGAAAAGCTGGAAGCCCTGACAGTCTTTAGTCAGAAAATCCAGGTACGAAATACGAGAGGAGATCAGAGAGGGAGCAGGAGGGAGAAAACAACAAAGAAGTTAGGCAGCAATCAATGTCGCGAAAGAAGATCCCAAGCGCACGAAGGATCAGGGTGTAATCTGTGGTAAGGACGAAGCAATCCTGTACGTACTATTTTCAGCCCAATTACCAGAGGAGTTGATTATATCTGTCCCTTTCTGAGATAGGGAGGCACTATATCTACCCACTTTCTCAAACCAAGTTGCGGCAACAGGTCTGTCTACTGCTGTGGTTTTGAGCCAATAGGGTCGCAGGGAGTGGCAATTACATGGAGCTGCACACACAAAATTGTGTAGTTAAGGACACCTTTGTTCAAAGGAAGCTTGACTGATATGTAATGCACTTGCTGTTTTTTTTCCCGGAATCACACAAGGGGCCCACAGAGTCAGCCTTTCCATGGTGACAGCCTCTCACTGGGAAAGCGTCCATCTATATAGCAGATTAGTCAATTTGATACAGGAGAGTCTCGGCCCGGTTGAGCTCTGAAGGATTTTGCAGCTCATTTCGTAGTCGTACTGGTAAATACAATCCTTCGAGTATTCTACGCCGTCGGAACGTAGTAAAGTTTGTCTGTCGTGACTGCGTTTCGATGATATGTTGATATTTCCATACAGTCTGCCTCATGATAGTGGTGGCCCTCTCTGTAAGGGCTGTAGGCTTCACTTGTGCCAGGGAGTGTTGTCCTCTCCCTACCTTTTCTGTAGCGTTGATGAATTGCTGTAGCATGTCAATGACCGTGTCCTCTGTACTCTGCGTAGCAGCAGCTTGTACAGCATTGAAAACTTCTTTTCGGGCAGCGTGACCGTGCCATTGCAGTGAATGACAAAGCACGGAGGCAATCTCAATCTCTTGCCACGGGTCCGCTTGCGCGTCTAGGAGCAGCTGTACATTTTTCGTGTGCCGATGGAGGACAGCAAGAAACAGTGGTGGTAGCGCTCCTTTCACGGGCATGACCGAGGCACCAGCTTCGAGCAGAGTTTGAACAAGCTGTGAGCTGCCCAATTCAACTGCTAATTCCAACATAGTGGTAGGTTGCGTTTTGGGTGGGAGAGTATTGGGGTCAGCTTGGGCTTGTAATAGTAAATAAGTTAAGCTGGCCCCATGTCGAGGAAAGCAGTGGCCAGCACTGGGCTGGTAAGCATATGGATCAGTAGAATGATCTCGAAGGATAGCAGAAGCTACTAAAGTGCTGATATGCCCTCCCTCCGTCATCAGGCCTGTAAGGCCTACTCCCTTGCCGAGGAGATAACTTAAATCCATAACATCTTTGTGATGAATGGCTGTCATAAGGTCTTGGAATTGCTCTGCTGATGGGACTTGCAATGATTGCACTATATAGCATACAGTTGCCTCATTTGCATCAGTATCAAGCTGAACAGCCCTCAGTGGCGATTGGATTACTGAAGAGCTGGCTGCATAGAGGACCACTTGGAAGGGCGAATCCAACCTAAGCACTCTGGCCATCTGCTTCATGATATCCCATCCGAGAATTGACTGTTCCATGACGTCCATCGTCAGGGCTACTTCTCCCAGGAGTCCATGGCGCACACAGAGTTGCATACGTATCCCGTACAGTGGAGCGGAGGCAACCCTGACAGTCTTTAGCCAGAGAAGCCTCACTCTTATGACTACCGCCAAAGGGACTCGTCAAAGTAAGGAATAGGGAGGATACAGATGGAAATACCAGGAAGTGAAGCAATCAAGAAAGATCAGCTCATCGAGACTTGACCAGAATTGCAAAACAGACTAAACATGAAAAACCTTGTAACGAACACATTGAAGTGCAATCCAACACATCGAGCCAGGGACCTAACCTGTACCAGGAACCGTTAATGGAGCTCGTAACATCAGTGCTTCGTTTTGATCTAAAAATGCTGCAGGCCCTCCATCGAGCAGCATGACAAGTGGCCTCATGCTCACCACAGACAGTTTCAGCAGGAGTGCAAAGGAAGAATACCACATGCAATGCTTTACATGCATACTGATACTGATAGACT